AAACAACTATAAAATAAATCGAGTTGCAGAGGTACTGCTGGCTTGCAAAAACGGTGTTGCTACGTTGTTTACCATGGCTGGCGTTTAAAACAAATTTTGATATAATATGAGTTATAAATTATAATAAAGAATGACTTTTTATTCAAAAAAATGTACAAAATCAAGAGAAATTAAGAAAAATTTTCAGCGATTGAACTTTCAATATCATTGCTGCGTAGCCTTTCCAACATTTAGGGAATTTAGCGCGGTTGCAGCGCGTGGAGCGCTGAAGCACTCTGCTTGCGTTACAATTTCAAACAATTCCAAAACTAATTCGACCAACTCGCAACTAATTTAAATGAAAAAATACATAATAACAAAGATTCCACGGGATGACCAGTATCAGCGTAACTCACTCGGCAATTCGCCCAACGACTCACTAACTAAAAACTCTCAATCCAGATGGACCTGCCCTTATATACTCCTGTCCCCGCTTCTCGGGTCAATCCTTGTTTTTAAGGAGAGTCATAAAATCATTGCGTACTTCTGACAGGTACGCGGCCCTTCCGTGGCCATGGCTACGTCTGGTGACCCGTTATGCCACCTTAAACCTGAACCCATCGTCGTAAAGCCAGGTTGGAACATTAAAAGTTATTTTCCTTATTGTTATTGCTTAAACATTAAAATCTTGACTATGGTGATGGGGGGTTTTCCCAGCATTCCTGACGGAAAATCCCACTGTCCTTCCATCTCCGACATATAATAGATCGACTATATAGATCGACTTCGCGCTTTAATGAAATTTACTTAGACACTGAGCTTAGCGTGACGATTATAGCGACTCAACGATTCTCTACTTTTGAGTCGCAGAGTGACTCATTTATCTGTTCGTATTTATATGACAATTCATGATTAATTTATTATCCAATAAGACAAATTCTTACTAACTAATGGCAATAAACATTATTTTGATTGGAGTTTACAATATTAGAAAGCGAGCGATTTATACATTGGCAATGTTCTTTCCCAAGGTAATCAAAGTAAATACGAAATTTGAGAATGATCACAGTTGTTACTGATAAATAATTTTGACATTTAATTAATAAATTTATTAAATAACATTTGTTCGTTGCCTCAGTTACGCTGCTGTACAGTTAAATTTGCGACGCTAGTATTTACCCTATTATCATACAAGATTTTCATACCAGAGGGACCCACAGGCGTAAACCAGTTCACAACAATAGTGATATTTTCTTTAATTCACAAGTATTTAACTTTACGATATTGGATGCATTGGTTTCTCTTGAGATAACTGTTCTCAGTTCATGTTAGAGTCAGGTGGAATGGGAGACGTGTCCACAGTATATAAAAGAGCGATGCTACCGCGGATCGGCTTCTGAACTGGGGCTGATTTATTCGTTGGATTATTCCTATTGTTTTTCTTATTAGACAATACGAATTATCCTCGCAATGGCCCTCAGTCAGACAACTGTGGTGAGTAATAAACATGAACAAAAGCAACAACTGATTAAAAAAACAATTAATTGCAATCATCACAATGACGACAATGACGATTTTTATCGGTCGATTTATGTTAATACCATTATCATTGTTATCCTCATCTTTGATCCCTTTTGTTCCAACCAAAGATTATTTTCTTTCGACATTTATTCTCTTTTTAAATCAAATCGTGTTTTGCAATCTTAATAATTACAAATTATGAATTTTTAGGTTGTATAATGCTAAAATTCTAAAACGTTATCAGTGAAAATTTTTAATCAAATTCATTGCGACTTTATTTATATTTTCCTTTTCAGATAAATTTCTCCACTACATTTTTTCAAAGTGTTGTAGGTTAGAATTGATGGCAATATTTTCAAATGGTTTCAATGTCCCTTAATTTCTCTATGTGTTCTTTTTTGTGTAATTAAAGCATACTAAAATTATCCTATATCTTCTAAATAAACATTGGAATTTCTTTAAAAAAAATAGATTTTTAGATAATAGTAGAATATAAGTAATTTATTAAAGAATAAAGGTGTAGAATTCTATGAATAATATTGTTTTAAAATATTGTATTTTATAGTCGTTGTTAATCTTTAATTATACATATAAAAAGATTAGTCTGGTACATTTTAGATTGATGTATTTTATCAAAAGTAATTTTCATGAAAACTAATTCATGAAAATGCTCCAAAACTTTAACATAACATTAAGATATAAAATAAAGTAAAGTAAAAGGAAAAGTATTATTGAACAGATAAAGTAATGTAAATTTTAAAAATGTCAATTGATAATGAAATTCATGTTAATTACAGTTAAAACTATACAATACTGTGATAGAGGATGTTATATCAGGTGTAAGAGAATCATTTATAGATGAAGGTGTAGATGAACAAGTATTACAAGAGCTCAAACAAATATGGGAAACCAAATTAATGTCTAGTAAAGCTGTTGAACTTAATCCAGATCCTCCAGAGCCTCAGGTTCCCCAAATAAATACGCACAAAGCTGTGCCTGTTAACAAGGGTAAGATCTATATTTTCTCTTATAAAACAATATTTTTGGTGAAAATAATTGAAATTAAGAAAATTTTAGAAGGATAGAAGAGACTATCAAATAAAATTATAATTATAACAAATTGCTCTCATCATAGGATTGCCATTAAAAATTAAAAATATACTTTCTCAACAAATTTAATGCAGTTCACACTTTTAGGAGTAACTATAGGAAATCATTTTGTACAACAAACAGGAGGAAATTCTGCTCCTCAACAAGCATCGCAACAACAGCAATCGCCTCAGCAATCACAAACTCAGACACAATGCCATTCAACAACAACTGGTATACAACACACTGGTACACCAGTACAGCAATTAGTAACATCAACGCCAGCAGTAATGGACAGACAAGTACCTATTCAAATAACATTGCCACCACAAACGGGCGTTCCTGATGCTCCGTTAAGAGTTTTAACTATTCAGGTTCCTGCGTCTGCAATTCAAGGTACATTGAAATAACATTCACATAATAGTTAACATATATTAATATTAAGGAAATAAAAATGATGTATTTGCAACTAATTAATTTACTTTTAGGTAATCAGTTGCACACAATTTTAACAGGACCAGTTATTACAGCTGCAATGGGGCTGCCAGCAAATCTAGCTTCCACATTACTCCAGCAACATGTTAATTCTACACTTCAGGGTCAAGCAACGCTGACTCCACTTCAACTCGTTACACAAAGTGCAAACAATGTTTCTCAGCGACCTGTCCAAATTCAAGTAATTAATAGAAATATATAACAGTATATTATTGTCATTTTATACATTCATATTATTTTAACAGTATATATTAACCTTACATTTCTTAGGAGCAAGCAACATTGACACCACTCCCAGTTAGTCAGCCTCTTCAAGTTGTTACGCAAAATGCGAACAATGTCTCTCAGCGGTCTGTTCAAAATCAGGTAATGAGAAATAGTACATTAAATTTAAATGGTAAAAGGTATAATTTTATATATACGTTCTAATTTCATATATGAAGAGATTACTATATTATAAATAAAATATGTTAATTTGGCCATTTAATTCTATAATGAATAATATAAATAAAATATATAACAATTAGTCATTTGACTAGTTTAATTTATTAATAACAAAAATTTATTTTCTATATAACTCATTTCTCTAAAATTATGATTATTTTTTATATAGGAGAAAAATATAAACAAATAAGAATTAGTTATTTCTTTCATTTTCTCACAAATAGAATAACATAGCACAATTAGATGGTCCACTTGGAGATTCGTCAGATGATGATGAAGAAGAGGAAGAAGAGGATAATGAAGATGAAGAAGAAGATCTTGATGATAAAGAAGAAGACGAAAATGATGAAGCTGCGGCAAGAGAAGAGGTCTTTAAAATATTTCGCTATTTTAGTTTCGTTTTATTTGTGCTGTGCTACGAAATAGAAAAATCATTTATTTAATAATATGACTCCTATTTCGTAGGAGCCGTTGAATTCAGAAGATGATGTAACAGATGATGACCCGGCAGATCTTTTTGATACTGATAATGTTGTTGTTTGTCAGTATGACAAGGTATTTAATAATTTTACAGTGATACATTACTCTGATAAATAAAAAATGATTTAAAGAGATTTATTTATCAAAATCCAAATATAGTTATTAATAATATTTTTTTAATAAATGAAAAATCAATTTTTAGATAACAAGGAGTAGAAATAAATGGAAATTCTACCTCAAAGACGGAATAATGAACCTTAATGGCAAAGATTATGTTTTTCAGAAAATGAATGGTGATGCGGAATGGTAAATAATATGTAAAACTATGGAAATCGATTCGGTAATGTGTTCACGTGAAATTGGTTCAAAATTTACCTTTAAATTCGTGCTCTAAAAGTTTTTTAATTTCTTTAATCAAGATATGCGATACTTGTTTTAAAATTTATATGACGCAGGATTAGGCTCGATTGGAATTTCTACTTTTTTTTCTTCTTTTTTCCTTTTTTTTTTTTTTAATATGAAAAGTGCACTGAAACCTCAGTTATTTAATTGAATAAAAAATATTTTATACTTATTGATCTTAAGTTTAAGAAAGAGTATTAATAATAAACTCTTTTATGCCTTTAATTAAAGAAAAGCATAAAGATTTTGAATTAAAATAAGAAAATATTAGTCATTCCAAAAATCGCATAATTCAAATTTAATTTGATGCAAATATCGTATGATCAAGATTTCACTGTATAAAAAGCTCAATAATCAAGCAAGTCTGCTATTGTATTTTGAACAGTCTCCAAGTTTTTTCATGTGAGTTTACTATGTAAATAAATTCTAAAGGATTGCAATCCACCATAAATATGTGATGCTCTTAACAATAAATGTGTCTTATACTGTTAAAAACCTTAATACATAATATGTATAATTGTTTTTCCTCTTCTTATTCCTTTTAAAATTATAAATATGAAAGTTCTATATTATTCAAAAACCAGAATATATATAGTTTCATCAAAATTTATTTACTTAAAAACATGTTATCTTTTTCTAACTTTTTATCCTCTAATTCACTAATAATTCGTGGGACCTCCTGTAATAGTTCTTCTGCATTTGTTTGAAAATCTTTGTCCAACCAAATATCTTTTAATTCCTTAATAACAATACCCATCATTTTCCCCTTCCTAACATATTGTTTTAACATGTCTCCACTAACTGGAAATCTGAAAACATCAAAATATATAAGAATACATTATATAACATATTAAGAGTAACAGCGATAGTAAATCTTTAATAAAAGTATAAATATAATGTGAAAAAGATTATTTTATAATTGAACCTTGTTATACATATAATTTAATGCGTAATATTTATTGTATGTATACTTTCCTTTATTTTTAAGTTAGTAGAAAAGATGAAAAATATTTACGTTTTAACGTATTTTCTATTATAATTATATTTCAGATTGTTATAATTTTAAAGTTGGTTGTTACCTTGGTATTACTAATTTTTCTACATCTTTAGCAAGACTAAAATATTGTTTAGAGTTTAATAATTCACAAATATAACTTCTTGCATTAACAACATTTCCTTTCCAATGAATAAGAATTCTTTTCCAAAATTTTAGATTTACTGAAGGTTTGTCTTCCTTGTATCTAACCAAAAATAATGCTAAATCTCTTTCATATGCAGATAACTTTAATCTATTATGAAGTTGCAATACTTCATTTTCATCTTTTAGCATTGTAGCAAGATAAGTAATTGGTTGCAAAGAAATATTATTTTTTTTAGATGTATCGTAAACGATCTCAAAGTTTTTTATATTTGGATTTTCTGAAAGTCCCACATATCTGAAATTAAATATCTATAAATACATCACATTAAGTTTATTTTCATTCTACTTTTTAATTTACTATTACCTTGTGATACCACATTCTAACAATTTCAAAGTTAGTTCTTTAGCATAATTTCCAGAAAGGATTTTTGACCATTCATTCCAAATTCTTTCTCCAGATATTCCTTCCAATCCATGTATATTTTCTTTTATTGCTATTATAGTAGATTCATCATGAATATCTGGTTGTTCTGCAATTCTTCCATAAAATCGAAAATACCTATATAATATAAATTTTATGGAATTAAACAAGAGAATTTTTATATAGAAATAACTTAATTTCAATTTACTTAGTATTAATTTACCTAACTTGAAAAGATGTATATATATCATTAATTACATGAAAAACTAATAAAAAAATACCTAAAAATTCGAAGATAATCTTCCTTAATCCTACATGTTGGATTTCCTACAAAAACAACTCTTCGTTTCTGTAAATCATCATAACCGAAGAAATAATCATATATTCTTCCTTCAAAATCAAGAAACATGGAATTTATTGTCAGATCTCTACGAAGAGCATCTAATTTCCAATCTTTTGTAAATTTGACTTTTGCATGTCTACCATCAGTGTGTGTGTCGATTCTAAGTGTAGTTACTTCAAAATTTTCTTTATCATTTATTCTTGAAGTAATTGTACCTGAAATAATTTCCATGAAAGGATTTAATTTTGTTACAATGTATCATTTTAATAATAACAAATAATACTGGTATATATTTCAACATACCATGCTTTTCCCCTTTGTTATTAATCATTCTGATATTTTCTTTTTCAAACATAATTTTCATTTCCTCTGGGGTAGCATCTGTTGCAAAATCTAAATCTGCAGGTTTTATATCCATTAAAATATCTCTGACAGCACCACCAGCAAGTTTTAGTTGATAATTATACTTTCTAAACAATTGTGCTAAAGTATTAAGTTCTGGTGTAAATATAGAATGAAACAATGGATTATCCAGTTTTTTAACTACTGGATCAGATCTGCTTCGTGGCATTAATTCTTCCTTCATAATAACTTTTTGCCAGGTTTTATACACCTTTTCAAAATTTTAAATGTTAGTTATTAAAACAATTTTAATGAAATAAAATTTTTTATGACATCATTCATATGAAGCTTCAATCTCGATAAGAACTTAACCTCAATGTTAGTAAAAGAGTATATTTGAAATATTATATATTTACTCTTAAAAGGCGATAAGAAGAAATATTATAATTTACGCCAGAAAGGACTGTAAACATCACTTAGAATTTCTTATATCTCCTTATTATTTAACAAAATAATTTTCTCGATTGACAGCCACTTTGAATACCACTTTACTTCATTGATAATTATTCATAAATGCCAGCCGTGCTGCTTTAATCTTCAATTTTCAAAGAAGATACTTTTATTAAAAATGAAATTATTCGCCAGAAAACTATCTTTTCTTTCGTTATCTAATTTTTATAATGTAAATTGTATTTTGAATGAAAAATTCGTATGTTATTAAATTTTATAGGTTATATTTACGTAAATTACATAATACGTATTGTTATTATCGTTATCATTACTTCTTTTTATGTTTACATATTATGTTTTAGAATTTCAGAATACTTAAGCACAAGAAATGGCTTTTTATATGCATTGATACATCAACAATCAGAAATGTTCTTATGGGTATAGGTTATATTTTTTATTTGTATTATGAAAAATATAAAAAATTTTATGCAAGTCTTTCATTAATTAGTAATTAAAAAATATTATGGTGAAATTAAAAGATTATATAAAATAGAAATAAATATTTTTGATAATACTTAATAAGATTTAAATTTAATTACAATTTTAGTCAATTATAAAATGTTTAATTTAAAAAGTTCAACTTCCTTTTTGATAATATTAAATTCTTTATTTCTCCCTTCATTTTATATACATCATTATTTAGTACAAAAGATTCCACACACATACGCAGACATCCTCGTTACTGTTTGCACCTGCTACAAATTTGCATCCATAGTCATTCAAGTTTTGGATATCGTCAATTATTAAGCAAGTTCAATTTTCCATATCGTACCTAATTCTTGACTTGAAAGGATAAAAAGTATAAAAATTTAATAATTGAGGGATCTTTTGTTCGATTCTTTAACATGTAGTATATATTTTTGAAAACACTAATCTTTATTTCTTTTGTTTTTGGCATTTTAATATTATTATGTACAATGCAACAAGTTTATGATCCTATCATTATTATCTGTGAGTATTTTCTGGAGCTTTCGTGTAAATATTATATGACTTTCTGAGATACTTGAGGTAACAATACCTTTAGTTTACTATTCTGTGGCTTTCCCGTGGTTTGTAGGCCACAGTTTTTCAAACTTTGACTTCATCTTGAACACAATTCAACTTCACTACTGCAGAATGTGGGTATAGAGAGATGAGAAGAATTTTTATATATACATTAGTGATTAATTGGCGGATGTGACAAACTAAGTACACTTCCTATTTATTTTAACCTTGTGATACAATTACAAATAGACCCCGTTACATATGCATATGAAACTAAGTCTATAATATGATATAATATATATATATATATATTATATATATATATATAAATGTTACTAATATAAATATATTATATAGGGATATAATATCCATCATCTACTTTTTAAACAGCAGACTAAATAATCTAGACATGATATTGTCAAATAATTAATTTAAATAAATGTTTATGTATAAAACAATTAGAAGGTTCAGAATTGGATAATAAGATTTTCTGTGAAACAATACATGTTTTCAGAAATAAGGATAGGAAATCGATTTAATAGAAAGCCATTTTTTTTTACTATAAGTTCAACTGACTTAGCAGTTGTAATTTTGTTATTGATTGTAAGTTAAATGTTCAACATGATTGGGCGGATGGCAGTAGGCAATGCTCCAAATGATAATCACAGACAGACTGACTTTGGGTATAGAAGTTTTAGTATTATTGTTAATGTTTTATCACACTTTCCAAAAGAATATTCTAATTAAAATTTTAGGAAATGAATTATTTTTCAATTTGTTTTTCGTTGGACTACCTTGCTCAACTTATCTAGAATTTAGAAAGTATAAATACAATAAGATCTGGATAACGTTCATGTATATTATATGAAACACAAGAGACACAGTTCTTTTTAAATATACATTATTTACTTTTTATTACTTAGCGTTGAAAAGAATCGAACATTATCCGATCGCTTTTATGTATTTCAGAGAAATATGCTTAAACATGATTGGCTAAATATCGGCCAACCGGATTTGATATACGTTGAGCAGTACCTCTTGAAATCCTTATTTCACAATTTCAGGAGAGGATCTTCTATTTCTTAAGGCTCATTTCCATTCATCCTATTTCGCTCATTCTCGCACAGATTTTATGGCTATACAACATTAGAGTTGGACAATTTTTATTCGAATAATAATCAATAAACAAAATACTTAAATAAGATGTTATTCTCAAATAATTATTTATTTTTGACTAATTGTATTATATTTTTGCAAATGAATGCGATCCTTATTTGAATAGCATTTTTTAAAACATCCAGTCATCACAGAAATTTAATAACTTTCTATTATAATAATCATTTTTTAGATGACACACTATAAAAAACATTGTTATTTATAATACAAAATTATTTGTACTCGTATAATTAATAAATTTTATAAGATAACTTTTTAAGTGATCAGTTGTTTAATATGAAATTTAATGATGATTTATTTTATTCTGTTAGTTTTAATACAATTATTCGAAATATTTTTGTAACACAAACAAAATAGACTGTATATTTATTCGAATAAATTTCATCCATCTAAATAGACTTAAAAATAAATAGACCATAATCCTAATTAAAGTTCCCTTAATCAATTACCTACATATTAATGATACATATATAGAATAGTACTAATAACAATGCAGTAATAGACACAATGGTAATAATAATAATGATAGTAATGATAATAATAATTTATTCGAATAATGTCCAACTCTGTATTAAGAGTCAAATTACAATATGTACGTTTGAAACGTGGTATTTAAGCATTTTTACACGTATATTAAGAAATATGAAAATGACAGTCTCTGCGGAAAAGCCAAAAGTATCAATTTGTCACATACATATTTTATATGTTAACCGATGCAAGTATCGCAAATATTAATGTCCAATTTCCATTAAATAAACTGATAATGACTAATATTTAATTATTTGAATAAATAATTATCAAAGTATTGTTTGTAGTGCCAATAAATATTTGTCTATGTAAATAAGTATTTTAATACTATGGAGAATAATATCACTACATTAGCGTTTTTCACGACAGCATAAATATTCATATAAAATTTTTGTATACTTTTCTTCTTTCCATAAAATTTTAACTGTACAAGTTCTAATATTTATTGATTTCAACAATATATTGCAAACTTTAGTAGAAACTTGGGTAATGTCCTTTCTTAATATGTTTCATAAGTAATTTTTTTAAAACATATGTAAATAATAACAGAGTGTAAAATTTATGATATGATGTAAAGAAAAGAAAATAAATATTTGATGATTTAGATTGTCAATTGCAATTGTATTCATTAAAAACATATATAACTCATGAAAGACGTGAATAAAAATTCACTCTATTTGCATTTTATTCACACTTGTTGTTGATTAATTTATAAATTTTAGTGCTTAGATATATACAGAAAACGAATTAGTTTCGCAATTAAGTATTCAAATAAATGTGAATTCCAAAAAATTTTGTAGATATCGAAAGGCGTAGTATTTTTAAAAATTAAATATAAGTAGAATTAAATATTATGTGAAGGATGGATCTTCCGTAGAGACAATTGAATTCCCTGATGAAGCGAAGGGTATTGTTTATATAAATAAATGGTATTCTTAGAAGTTAACTGATCAATCAATCAATCAATCAAGCAATCAATCAATCAATCAATCAACCAATCGATCAATCAATGAATTAATTACGTATTTACAGACAATACAACATACATCGCATCATCGAAGAGCAGATTAGCTCTTTGAAAAGCTCACTCACCACTCATCGAGCACGACGATCATCTGAACTATAAAACCGAAGGGAATTGAACGGACACCTAGCCGACTCGTGATCAACTCCACAAAATTTTTCTATAACAGATAAATTTTAATTTGTTTATGTTACAAACGATCACAATTCTTTTCATAAATAATGCAAAAATAATCTACCTTTATTTTAATTAACAAGGATAGATAGTAAATAATTATGATGTAGGATAAAATTCTTAAATGTAGAAGTAGTAAAATATTCTTTAAGCCTGAAAATACAGCTTTTTTAAAAATTGGATTGTGTTTACTTACGCTGGTTTAGAGGCCTTCACGGAGGAACTCTCAGTACTTTTCTTTTTGCTACTTCTGCATTTTCTGACGTAGGCTTCTATTAAGTGGGCTATTTTTTTTGGATTGATTTCTCCTGTTTTATTATGACATATCTACCAAAACAATAAAATGAAAGCTAGGCAAATATTATAAAATTGCTTAAACACTAATAGATCGAGTTCTGATAGATAGTATTTCTTTTCTGACGTTTCCTGTTGTAACTTTTATTTAAAGGAAAAATATATATACACCTACCTTAGGTACTGCTTTCCGCATAATATCCTTGTACTCTTCTTTTGTTACGTGCTTTTTTGTGTAATGTGGTTTCAAAACTAATTTCACTTCTTCAACTACTCGTTCTTGACGATTTAATTTTTTTAGGAACTACAAAATAATTAAACGTAATATCATTAAAAAATATATATGGTAAACAGGTTATTTAATAACCTTTAAAGAAATTAAGGGCTTATAATATTTAATTATAAAATATTTCAGAGAAATTTATTTTCAAATGTGATGCTCTAAATTGTTTTTCAATGTTTCTCCAATATTTTGACAAATATTTATATTTATTTTTGCTTAAATATTAGAAGTAAGGAGAACCCAAAAGAAAAAAAATCCAAACCTTATCCTTGACTTGCATTTCAACTGCAGAACTTGGAAGATCATCCAATATTTGGAGCTGGTTTTCATCCATTCTAACACCAACTTTCGGATTTGTGGACTTCTTCTTATCTTTTTGAGGTTTTTTGCTTCTACTTGATTTACTGGTTGTTTTTGTGGTCGGTAAAGCACCAAAAAGGGCATCGAAGGCATCCTTTTTTTCGGTGGATTTTGCCGTTTTTGAATTGCTAGTTTTCGTAGGTTGAGATCCAACGGGTCCTGCTCCACTTCCTGTTCCAGCAGCGGGTGAATTGTTATAATTCGTAGGACTCGGTGGATCGAAGATTCCATCGCTAAGTGTCGACCCAGGCGAATAAGGGGAAGACATATCCACATTGTCCGCTGTTTCCGTGCCGGTATCGTTTCCATTTTGTCCGTTG